CATAAATACTGTGCACATGGAGAATAAATAACCAATATACAGCTATTAACATTTTTATAGTAATGGATATTTGAAAATAGCAGCAACATAAGAGATGTGCAAAATTACAGCAGCAGTATTGTTTGTTAGGGCTGGGTTTTTTCAGCAAAGTCCTGAATTGATTCGATTTTGATTCATACAGTTCTAAATAGATCAATTTCGATTTAATCTGTTTTTACAATAGTGAAAGTGGTTCAACTGTGCTTCAAAATACTCATGTTTTATTTTTTCCTGTCATATTAAATACAAAATGCAAACTTGTAAATCAGACAGTTTAAACTTGAGATGGGAACAAAACTGTCTCAAAAGTGCAAACTTGTTTGTGAAAAGTGAAAAAGTGAAGCCTCATTCGAGCAAGCAGCACAGTGACACAGTGGGGACACAGCAGACATGCATGAGCTGCATTATCTTCACTGTACAAACCATATTTGCAGCTTATCTGTAACAACTAAAGGGTTTTTGCTGGTCAGCCCCCTTTGTTAATGTCTTGAGTCAACCTGTTGGGTTTATTTGCAGTTGTCTGGCTTGAAGTCATCTTTGGTGCATCTTTCATGCTTATTTGAATGTGAATGTCACGCGCGTCACTATAAAACTAATCAATCTCATTCTCTAGACATCGATTTTGCAAAAATGTAAAGGAATCGAACCAAAATCCATTAAATCAATTTTTTACCCAGCCCTATTGTTTGTTTAAAAATAAAAAATCATAGTCTAATGATGCTTTTTTCCAAATATCACATCTTATGACTCTATATTATTTTCAAAACGTAATGCTCACCTTGAGTGTGTGCTCCTATTCAGTGTTTTTCATTCAACAGTTTCATATTTATTTTCACAGGTTTCTAACCCCCCTAGTAATGTATATTTATATTTAGATATAGATAGATATAGTTGGTTTTATCCTATCACTTTCACCTCCACTATTTTGATTGTTTTTCAGTTTTTTTTTTGTATTGTAGAAAATGTGCTGTAGATGGATATTTAGCCTTCCTAGAATCGTTATGTTAGCTAAATGTATCCGTTTAAAACCAGTCTGAATGTGTGGTTATGATCCTCTTTTCCTCTTACTGCTACACTTTCTTACCTAGGAAAAAGTTAGGATATTTCTAGACTTACCCGAGTGTCATCAAGCTATTTATTGTAAGCATGTAATAAAGCAGAACTGGCTGTGTTCAAGGTGCACAGTAAATTTTGCAGTGTTAAAGTAACACTAGGAGTGTGTTTGGTCCCACTCAGAATTAGTGTGAAATTAGTACTCTACGTAATAAATATTTTACTCCAGTTGTTGTAATAACTCTAAAACAGTCAATGTACTTTGACACTGCATGTGGAATTTACGGTGTGAGCCCAGCTTAACATGGTGATGCACCAAGAGTTTGCAGACCAAAAGGGAGCCTCCTGCTCCACAATTAGCACCTGGGAGGAAATCCACAGCTGCCTATGTGGCCAAACCTAATTTACCCCGGAGGAAAGTTGGATGGCCAGAGAAGATAAAGCTGTTTGGTCAGAATAGTAACTTTCTAGGAAGTAGGAAGAGGATTTCATACATCAGGAGTATCTTCCAGGAGATGATGCTGGAAGCATCAACTATGAAGATGTTATTCAATTTCAGTTTGCTAACTCCTCCAGCAAAAAAACCCAAGTATTTTATGTTAATAAGAGATTTATTGTACATCAATCTCAGTTGTTGCTCTAAAGGTTGGCCTCTGTATCACTTCATCTTAACCCTATACAGATCAAGAATCGTATTTGTAATCCATAACTGCGCTGTTGCAATCTTTCAGGAAGCCATGGTAGGTGTTTGATATGCGGCGCCCAGTGCCAGGTATCCCCCCTCTCAGACAAAGTAAGCATATTTTACTCATATCGCACAGTGGCTAAAGTCGTGTTTGTGGGATTACTCCATACAGTGTAACCTTAGATTTCTGCTTTCCTTTAAATTTAATGTTTGTATTTATTGTAGAGCAGCTCGGATGTGAAGGCCTTGTTCTCTGACATTGGTTCTGTGGCAACCAGACATCTGACAGAGATTGGGAAAGTTTGTACAATTTAATTCTTTTTATTCGATTATTGTGCATAAAAAGAAGCAGTAACTCAGAAAAAAAACTGTAGACATGGAAGTTTTCTTTCCTCACAGGTTCTAACATTTCAAGCACGACACCAGAAGAGGTTACTGAATTACTACAAACAAAAGGTGACAGACTTTTATTTGCATTCTCAGTCACTATATGCATGGCTTTGGAAATATTTTCATGCCTCTTCAGTTTTTGCTAATGCAGTCAGATAACAAGTGATAAATTTCAACCCATAACTGTGAAATTAAAGGAAAATCTCTGGTCTTCAACATTTTGACAAATAGGAATCTAAAATGTGAGGCGCATTTGTGTGTAAGCCTCCTGAGTCTGTGTGGCTGCAGGTCTCTGAGTTTATCTCCACCAGCTTTGAATATCTACAGACCAAGTTTCCTCTCTGTTAAGCAGTTCCAGTTCAATCAGTGCAGTAAAATCTCATTTGGATTTATGTTTGGACTTTGACTAGACCACTCTAACACATTGTGTGCTTTGATCTAAACCACCTCTGTGCTGAGAGGTGAACCTCCAGTCTCTGGTCTTCTACAGCCTCTAACAGACTACCAGTAACTACAGACCTCTAGGCTGCTTCTCTGATCTATCCTCTCCTTGTCAGTCTCAGTAGGTGGGCAGGTGGTCCTCCCTCTCCATGCTCAGGTGATGGATTGGTCAGAGCTCTAGAAGACAATCAAAGCTTAGGATATCCTAGAACATTATTCTGCTTTAAACTGAACCATAACCTCCTCTTTGATCTGTTTTTATGTGAAACAATGAAACTTATTTTAATCATGCAGAGCTTGACTCTTCTAACTAGGAAGTTGGTTGTATGCATTTTATTAAGGGGTATCAGAGTAATGGGTAAAGAAACACTTTTCAGATTCACATTGATAAGAGAGATCTATCATTTTCGTTTAGCTTGACAGTTATAGAACATTTTGTGTCAATCTGGCACATAAAACCCCCCATCATACATGAGAGTTTTTGACTGTAAAGTGACAAAATGTGGAAAAAAATGTGTAGTTATAAATACTTTCCCAGTTTCTAATATGCAGTTTGATAACATTGCGGGAGATATTTTTTTATTGTGAATAAAGATAAATATCTCTATATTCTGTTGACATTAATGTAAAATATTGCCTCCTGATAATATTCTGTAGTTTTTATATTTTTATAGAGTCAGAAACTAGAAGAGTCGTTGGTAAAAATGAAGCAAGAAATGCAGCAGATGGCAAAGTAAGTAAAACCTGCAGAACAATGGATCCGATTCACCTCTATGGTTTCTGTATCAAACTGTATAAGAAGATGGGAGGGTTTCTGATTTCTTTTTTATATTAAAGAATGCTGAATGAACAGAGAGCATACAGCGCGAAGCTGGAGAGCGCCCTTCAGCACCGCAGGTCAGACATACAACATGTAGATGTTAAACTTGCTTGTTTATTCCAGCTCTACTATATAGATCGTTTGTCAACTTAACGGTCTATCATACCCTAAAGAACTGTTGGACTCTTCCATCCTCTCGTAAAATATTTTTTTATTGTTTTTATGTTATGCAAATATTCAGGTACCTTTTTAGCTATTTTCCACAATTGTCACCTTGTATAAAAACCTTTAAAACTTGGACTTTTTAAAGCTGCTGCTGCAGAATTCTGCATGTTCTATATTTTCACATTTTTAAGTTTTTTCTTATATATTAAAATGACCCTTCCAGTAAAGTTTTTTTGATTTATTATTATTGTAATTTTCGTCTTTTTGAAGTTTTGCAGGACCATAAACCCAGTTACATAATGCTTGATTCTGCACTAGATGGCGCTATTGATCCATTTTTACCTGAACTATACCAGAATCAGCACAGAACCTACACTGAGGGCTCTGAGAGCTGATTGAATATTATCATTTTGATTAAAGTTATGGCAAATATAGAAGTACAAACAGAAGTAGTATCATTTTTATAAATAAAAGCAATCCAGAATCCTAATTATACACCATGCTCTTAAATGGTCTGTAAAGCCTAAAGGGAAATGTTCCTTAAATTAATGAGAAGTTAAACAGTGTTTTTGGAGTTTTTCAGATCTGCTGTAACAGAAACGGTTTCCCCAATCCCTTACCTGTTATTATTTTACAGTAGAAAGCTAAGCCATTCTGTAATTGTTGAATTTAAAGTAATAAATTCATATACATTTTTATTCTTTTTCCATAGCTTAAAACCATCGTCTGTGTCTCCAGTTCCCAGCAGTCCTCAGACCTCACATGGAAATAAACAAGGTAGACATAACTAAAGGTTTTACAGCATTCAGTGTTCTTTCTGAGCTATAAATACTTTACAGCTCAGACCCATTTTATAAATATACCTATGTTAGCCATTCTAAATCAGGATTATAATGTCCTGCGTGATGTTTATTATCATATCTTGATATGATTTAAACTCTTCTGCTGCAGTCAAAGCTGCTTGTTTTTAAGAGAGGAGCAAATATGCAGGCAGTTTGGAAAGATAAACATCTCCGTTTCTCCATTTGGACCGTTCAGCTGCAGCCTACATGCTGTACTGTGCTCTGTGGAGGAAAGCCAACAGCGCAGACCTTCTGCAACTACTAACACAAAAAAAAAAAGCGCAACAAAAAGAGATGCTAACCTTGCCTGCTAGCTGATTTCTTGTGGTACTTGTGCATTCACAAACACA